GAGGGGACATTAAACCCCAAATACTGTTCCAGGGGTGCCATTAACCCCACACTCTGCTCCAGGGGTGCCATTAACCCCATACTCGGCTCCAGGGGTGCCATTAACCCCACACTCTGCCCCTTGCCTGGTGAAGGGTTTCCTGGCCCCACTTGGCCACTCTCTCTCTGCACTCAGTGGCCAGGACCACGGCCCGTGGCGTGTCCCAGCTTCTCCAGCCCATTCCCAGCTCTGAAACCCCCTCAGGAACTCCCTGTTCAGGGAGTCAGAGCCCCTTACCCTAAAGGGACCCTAAAGACCAGGGGGGGGAAGTGAAGAGGACTTGGATTTTCAGACGTCAGGAGGAATTTCTTCCCCCAAAAAAAGGGCTGTCAGGCTTGGGAAGGGGCTGCCCAGGGAGGAGGTGGAGGAGCTCCCATCCCTGGAATGCCTGGAAAGGTCTGGACAGAGACTGTCTGTGCATTCCCAGTGGGCTCTGGGAGGAAGGGGCATCCTGCCTGCCCTGACCCGCTCCAGGCTGGGGACAAGGTGGACTCAGTGACCTCAGAGGGCTTTTCCAGCCTCAGTGATCCCGGGATTCTGGACCCACGAGAGGCAGGCCTGGGGTGCCCGTGGAGCCTCCAGGAGGGGGGTGATGCCCTGAGCTCAGCACAGGTCGGAGTCAGGGACTCCTGCCTGGAAACCTCCCCGCTCTCACCGTCCCACAGAGCTGCTTTCACTCCTTCTCCCCCTAAAACCCCCGAGCTGAGGCCCCTGCAGCCTCAGCCAGGCAGCAGCTCTGAGCTGTGGCTGTGTGATGCTGCTCTGAGGGCATTTGGGGGGGTGTTTTAAGGACAGGCCAAACCCCCAGCCTGGGGTGCTCCTTCAACCAAAGCAGGGGATGCACGACCCTCGCACCGGCTGTGACCCGACGAGCCAGGGAAGGGGGAAGGGAGTGGGAATCCTGGGCTGTGCCACTGAGCCCACGGGGAGCCCTGAGAGCCACGACAGGGAGCTCAGGCTGTGCTGCCTTCCCAGAGGGACTGGGGGCACACCCAGCCACAGGAAAGGTCTGGACAGAGACTGTCTGTGCGTTCCCAGTGGGCTCTGGGAGGAAGCAGCTCTTGAGGAAGGGGCACCCTGCCTGCCCTGACCTGCACCAGGGCCCAGCACCCAACTCCTGCCCCTGGGCTGTGCCCAGCAGCAGCCTCTGACTCCCTGAAGTGTCTGAGGAAAAGGGGCCACAGCCTGTGCCCTGGGGACAACGAGCCATCAAACCTCTCCTGTGCCACCGCCCACAGCCGGGAAGAAGGAACCAAAGCCCGAAGTGCTGCAGTCCTGCTGCCAGGCAGCAGCCCCACGGATGGTGGGGGGGATTCCTGGGCACGAGGGCTCGGACACCAGCTCTGCCAAATCCATCCAGCCCCTTCCAAGCTCACCCCCTGCCCAGAACACCCCCTCTGGCTCCCCACTGCCACACCGCCCGCTGCCAGGGGAGGGAGAGCAGGGATTCCCCTTCAGTGCCCTCCTCCCCTGCAGCTGTGCCTGACCCCGGGCACAAACCCCACGCTCCAGAGAGGGGGGAAGGTGTTTACAACACCAGGCACAAACCCCACGCCCCAGCCAGGGGGGAAGGTGTTTGCAAAGGGATTTACAGCTCCAGCCAGGGGGGGAAGGTGTTTGCAAAGGGATTTACAGCTGGGCCTCTGCGGGCAGAGGAGTCACAGGGCACTTTTGTCCTCTGGGAGAG